TAGCCGAAAAAATATATAAAATTTGTATATTAGATATAAATGTATATATATATATATATATATATATATACAAAAAATATATATTTTTTCGACTATTATTTTGAGAGCGGCTATAAAATGTCATTTTCCCAAAAATAATATGTATAATAAAAACAACACTTAAATTGTTAGGGAAAACATTTCCATCTAAAAAGGCATGGGTAGTTCAGTTATTCTGTTGCTTATACTTCTTTATATAAAGATCGGTTTAGCACTTACCCTCAATATATACCCTTTATGACCAACGTAATAAAGGCTATCAGTTATATATTACACACTAGTGACTAGTCCAGTAACAAGTCGCCACCACAACGACTGCCACCGCCTACGGCCTACCGCCACCACCACAACTCCACTGTCTTAGTGGCGTGTTTGGTTAAGCATTTAAACGCACTATGTGGTTATAATATATAGCCCGTGGCAGCTGATTGACGGGCGTTTTTCAGTGCGCACACGTTTGAATGCACCAAACAAAGCTTAACAGACTAAACTTTATTCCATTACTTAACTATTTATATATAATAGACTTGTTGTCATCAAGATTTCTTAAAAGGATTGCAAAAAATGAAAGGCATTGTTCTATTTTTCTGCCTCTATCTATTCCTTGTCTCTTTTCTTAGAGAATCCAATGCAGTTTCTCTAGTACAAAACAATGGCGTATATATTGTTTACATGGGTGCTCCTGATGCATCAAACGATGGCATTAAAAATAATCAAGCAGACCTTATGAGCTCTTTAATCAGAAGGTTAGTTTATTAATATTTCATTTATTCCGTTTATATAACACTATTTCCATTTTAGTCTGACAGGTCATAAAAATATTATGACATATTTCAGATCACAAGCTCTTGTTAATTTTATACTTTTAGTATATACGAAAGTCTTTCTTTCTTGAACCATCTGTCCAATCAAACAAAAAGGGTAGTCCGGTGCATTAAGCTCCCGCAGTTCCACTATGCACGAGTTCGGGGAAGGACACTAGTTCTGTTGTACGTAGCCTTATCCTGCATTTCTACAAGAGGCTGTTTCCACAGCTCGAGCGCGTGACCTCCTAGTCACATGACAACAACTTTACCAGTTACACGTCTCCTTCATCTGTCCAATCAAACACCACCATATAAAATAAAACTGAGGGAGTACAACACATGACTGAAAACTTAATTGGTGATAACATAACATGAATATTTTCGTTTTAGCTCAAGTTCAAGAATGAGCTAACATCAATCTCTAATTTCTGTTAGGAAAAAAGATGCTATTGTACACAGCTACAAGAATGGTTTCTCAGGATTTGCTGCGCGTTTATCAGAAGCTGAGGCGAAGTCCATTGCTCAAAAACCTGGAGTCATCTCTGTATTCCCTGATCCAATATTGAATCTCCACACAACACGTTCATGGGATTTCTTGCAATATCAAACTGATGTAGAAATTAGTTCTGGTCCAATTTATGGTTCTGGTTCATCACCAAATGGAGCTGACACCATAATTGGAATCTTGGATACAGGTACAACATTTATTAGAAAATTTCCACGGTACAGAATTATACTGTAGTACAAGCTAGTTAAGTATTCTGATATTTATTATGATAAAAATTTCCACAATCTTATTCAGGAATATGGCCTGAATCAGAGAGTTTTAGTGACAACGATATGAGTGCAGTCCCCTCTCGGTGGAAAGGAACTTGCATGGAAAGTCATGATTTCAGCTCTTCCAAATGCAACAAGTAACTTTCTCCTCCTATTCCTGGTCATATATTTCATTTTATATGGCAGTGTTTGATTAAGCACGACGTTTAAGGAAGTAAAAAGGGACATCACGGTGCATTAAGCTCCCGCTATGTGCGGGGTCCGAGAAAGGGCCGGACTACAAGGGTCTATTGTACGCAACCTTACTCTACATTTCTGCTAGAGACTGTTTCCACGGCTCGAACCCGTAACCTCCTGCCACATAACAAAGTAAAAAAGATATACAGTACCTTTAGAAGTTGTGGTCTTTAATATTGCATGATAAGGGTAAAATATTGTTTGCAGTTTTAAACTGCAAACTATACATATTTATGTTTTTCTTAAATTGCTGAGTAACCGAAACCGCAAAAATATGTTTTAAAAAAAATATATAACTGATTAAAAACATGTATGTTTTACTATATATGTGATCATTGTAATTTTCTACTAGGAAGCTAGTTGGTGCAAGATTTTATGATGACTCTGGTGAGGACGACAGAAAACCTTTTGGCTCAGTTAGGGACCAAAACGGACATGGAACTCATGTTGCATCTACAGCAGCTGGGAATCCAATTTCAGGAGCATCTTATTATGGCCTAGCGGCTGGGACTGCGAAGGGTGGTTCCCCGGGTTCGAGGATAGCCATGTATCGTGTCTGCACGAGTGATGGATGTCGCGGATCAGCTATAATGAAAGCATTTGATGATGCCATTGCGGATGGAGTTGATGTTTTATCGCTATCACTTGGTTCATCATCTGGACTTGAACCTGAATTTTCGAATGATCCTATTGCTATTGGAGCATTTCATGCTGTTGAAAAGGGAATTCTTGTTGTCTGTTCTGCTGGAAATGATGGACCTAGCGCGAAAAGTGTTGTCAATGTTGCTCCTTGGATTCTCACAGTTGCAGCTACTACCATTGACCGTGACTTCGAAACTGATATTGTCTTAGGTGGGAACAAGTTAATTAAGGTAAAAACTATGCTAAACATCAATCCTGTGTTCTGTTTTTGCATATTTTAAGCCAGAGAAAACTGTCAAAGTTATGTACTGAAATATTACTTGGTAATCTTGTTTGAGTTACAGGGAGGGGGCATAAGTTTTGGTAATTTGACAAATTCTGCAGTATACCCGTTGATTAGTGGTGATTTAGCCAAATCAGAAGAAAATGATGTTTCTGAGAAAAATGCAAGGTAATTTGAAGAACATAAAACATTAGGATCACATCATTTTGATGTGTTTCTCAAAGAAATTGAGATGGTATATGCATGTAACTAACTAACAGATGTGCTTCAGGAGTTGTGTACCGGATTCTTTAGATGAAAAGAAAGTCAAGGGGAAAATTGTTCTTTGTCATAATCGCGACGAAGGATATTCACCTAGTGATAAGCTAGAAGAAGTGAAGAGCAAAGGTGGCATTGGATTTATACTAGTAGATGATAATGCAAGAACAGTAGCACCCAAATTCAAATCCTTTGCCGCGGCTGTAGTAACTGAAAAAGATGGCAATGAGATCTTCTCCTACATTAACTCAACAAGGTAATGAAATCACTTTTAGGTTTCCAATAGTTGGCTATTCTGAGTCTAAAATATTGGATAATGCACATTTGAATAATAGATTCTTTAAAACTTATGAAGGAATCCAGTTGCATCAATTCTACCAACTGTTTCAAAAACCAAGTACAAACCAGCTCCTGTTGTGGCTTACTTCTCATCAAGGGGTCCTGCATACAACACTCATAACCTCCTCAAAGTAAAGACTCTACCCTTTTTTCTTCTTATGTTATGGTCTAATGATAAAACAGAACAATAAAAAATCTGACTATATTTTGATTTGTACTTGCAGCCAGATATTACAGCACCAGGGGTTGCCATTCTCGCGGCGTGGCCTGGAAACGACACAAAAGAGGCTGTCTTAGGACAGGAACCACCACTTTTCAACATACTCTCAGGGACTTCCATGTCCTGTCCTCATGTTTCTGGTATTGTCGCGATTGTCAAGGCGCAAAATCCTTCTTGGAGTCCTTCAGCAATCAAATCAGCTATTATGACCACAGGTAAGAAATCTAATTCACATTCTTCATTTTTTTGGGTATACTGACTCATTTCAAGTAGTGAAAACAGTCTCTTGCTGAAATGCAAGGTAAGGCTGTGTATGTAATGGCCCTTTCCCGGACTGCACACGCAATAGGAGCTTAGTGCACTGAGCTACCCTTTATACTGACTCATGTCAAGCTTTGTTTCTACAGCTATACAGACTAGCAATTTGAAGGCTCCAATAACAACAAATTCTGGATCCATTGCAACACCATATGACATTGGAGCCGGAGAAGCAAGCCCTTCCGGGGCAATTAATCCAGGATTGGTCTACGAGACTTATGCTGCAGACTATTTGCAGTTTCTATGCTCAATTGGCTATGACACATTAAAGATAAAACTCATCTCAAAAACAGTTCCTGATGATTTTTCATGTCCCACCAACTCAAGTTCAGAATCAATCTCAAAAATGAATTACCCATCCATAGCTGTTTCAAATATCAAAGAAAATGAAACCAAGAAAGTAACCAGAATGATTACTAATGTTGCAGAAGAAGAAGCAACATACACTGCAATTATAAAGGCGCCAACTGGATTGGAAGTCCAAGTGATTCCAAATAAATTGGTATTTACAAATAATAGCAAGAAGTTGAACTATGAAGTGTCTTTCAAATCTTCATCTAAACCAGTGGGAGACTTGTTTGGATCAATTACATGGACAAATGGTAAATACAAAGTTCGAAGTCCATTCGTTGTAACGACTTACTTATAAGGTGTCTGATAACACTCCCAAGCCTGCAGATTGCCGATCAAAGTAGTCTAGCAAGTCTGTATGTACTGTTATACTCCATGAATACAACTATGTTACTACCACATCATGTACATGCTTAAGCTAGAAAAAGAAAAGAAAAGAAATAAAGATCAGGGATTACACACATGTGCACTAAGTGAGAAAATCATATATAGTTGGCCAATCATTCGGCAACAAATACCACTGTATTATAATCCATGTGTTGTAATTCATGTATAATTGTGTGCGAACCAAATTATTGGTAATGATTCTGAAAGCGATGAGATTATCCAACTATGCATGTTGGCATGCAAATATATCATAAGAAGCTACTTAAATGTTGGAGAAGAAATTGATGAACTAACAGTCTGTATGATTTTTCTGTAAGATGAAAGCTATCCCAGAATCACTGGAATATGCGAATGTGCAAAACTCTATAACTTCTATTTTCCCTGTCCCACAGCATCCCTTGATTGCAATCTTGAATCCTGCACAATCATACAAATATAAGAGATGGAAAATCTTGTCCATTCTTAACTATTTCAATAAAAAAAGGCAAACATATTTTTTAGGATTGTAGATGACATCAAGTGTAGGAATGTTTATATCTACAGACACCATTCTTGAATTAGGGAACTTTTTTCCTAGAGAGCTCAAGTCAGCTGTCAGCTAGCAGTTGAATAATTGTGTTGCTTGGTTCAAATAATCAACACATTCCCTTTCTTTTCCTCCTCTCAATGTTCTTTTTGATGGCACACATCCAACTCGCATGAATTCAGATTGAGTTGCAATGTTATACTACCTGTACAAAAGTAGAAGCAGAGCTGACTAAAAAATCCATATATGACTATATGCTGAAACATCATAGTAGAATTTTCGAAGAGGCGTACTAAAGTATGTGTTGGTAATGTCATTGCTTCCTATGACCAATATGAATAGGCTGTTGGCCAAGATCTCATTCTTTCTATCCTCTCCTACTATCTCTTTAAGCTTTATTATGTACTCTTTGAACATTTCCAACTGACCAGACAATGATACAACTTTCTGCATTTATGTACAAAATTTTCAGAAATATAAGAAAAAAAATAGTTGGTAACAACACAGAAAAATGAATAAAGAAAAGAAATATACCAGGATTTCAGATGTTAGAGGATCATATCCTGCACGACCTGAAGCAAAGTTAACTCCTGTGATGAGGTCTTCTACTTGTAAATTTGGATCAAGATATGCTGATAAAAGCTCTTTTATTCCCAATTCTTCCACTGAAATATAGAGAAAATACTAAGGAAGTACTATTCTCTAATGTAATTTGTTGATAAGAGAATCAAAATGATTTTATGTCAAATTCTTCTCACCAAGCAAGTCTGGTGGAGCTTTTCCATTATTAAACCTTCCGGTTGGTTTTCCTCCCATGAAATCCTGACCATAAGGAAGAAAATTAGCCTCAACTATGGTTTTGAGGCCATTATTATTACCTGTATCAACGTTAGAATCTCCGAAAAATATCACTGCTGGAATATACTTATTAAGCGGTACCCTTATAACGGCCTGGACATTGCACCTTAGAGGTACATAACAAGTGCTTGACAACACAAGAAAAGAGTATATTTTGAAAGAGAGGAACTTCATTATTCTCTGAGTTGGAAGAAAAAACATACAAGGGCCATTATGCAGAGTAAATGCTTGCTCGGTACAAGAAAGATTTCACTTTATAGAGCATATTAAAGGCATGAGTTAATGTTTCCTTTATTAGAAAGGTCAGCACTGTATCTTTGTAGACAAAGTTAATCAATTGGATTGCAAGGACTGGCATGTTATTCTTTCCATTCTTTGAACTCTTAGTGACAGTTGTATTTGATGGATCCTTATATAAAAAAAAGAGCAGCCTCGGGGTCCAGGGAAGGATTGGACCTCAAGGGTCTATTGGATGCAACCTTCCCCTGCATTTCTGCTGTTTCCACGGCTCGAACCTGTGACGTCCCGATAGATCTTTATGTAGAATTAGTGAAAAACTGCACCAAATAGGATATTTAGATAGAAAAGTTCCTGATATTGCAAAATCCTTCCTGGAGTCCATCAGCAATCAAATCAGCTATTATGATGAAGAAATAAATCTAATTCACCTTTCTTCAATTTTTTGGATGTACTGGCTCATGTGGTACGGTCCCCTGACCCTGCACATAGTGGGAGCTTAGTGCATCAGACCACCCTTTATACTAACTCATGTCAAGCTTTGTTTCTACATCTATACAGATTAACAATTTGAAGGCTCCACCCACAACAAATTCTGGATCCATTGCAACACCATATGAGATTGGAGCTGGAGAAGCAATCCCTTCGGGGGCAATTAATCCAGGATTGATCTACGAGACTTACCCTGCAGGCTACTTGCAGTTCCTATGCTCAATCGGCTATGACACATTAAAGAGAAAAAAAATGATCAAAATCTGTTGCGACTGACTCATAGTGATCACTTATCAACGAATAACTCTGGTTATCAAATGATTGAACAACCAGGAGCATTTTACTTACGATACTTAGTTGATAACTCAAGTTCTTGATGATATTTCATGTCCCACTAACTCAAGTTCTGCAGATCGCTCAAAGTTGTCTAGCAAGTTTGTATGTACTGTTATAGTCCATGAATACAACTATGTTACTACCACATCATGCACATGCTTAAGCTAGAAAGAAATAAACAATGATCAGGGATGAGACACATATTCACCAATCATTAAGCAACAAATACTAAGAATTTTTTGATTATATTTAACTGTATTACAATCCATGTGCTATAAATCATGTATAATTGTCCCAAAGGCCAAAACCAAATGAGTAGGATAGTACATAGGGTGGGCTGGTATTCTTCCTCTCCTCGTAGTATACAACAAATAAATATTTCTATGATTATTAATGACTCCAAAAGTGCTGAGACCATCCACAAATGCATGTTGGCATGTGAATCTATCAGAAGAAGCTACTTAAATGTTGGGCAAGAATTTGATGAACTAATTGTCTGTATGCTTTTTCTGTAAGATGAAAGCTATCCCAAAAAACATAATCAGAATCACTGGAACATGTAAATGTGCATAACTCTGCGACTTCTATTTTCCCCGTCCCACAGCATCCCTTGTCTGAAATCTTGAATCCTGCACAATCATATAAAGGTAAGAAATTGAAATCTTGCCTATTCTAACTCGTATTAAAGAAATTAAAGGCAGACATATTTTACCATATTTTTGAGGGTTGTAGATGACATCAAGTGGAAGATTGTATACATCTACATACACCATTCTTGAATCAGGAAATTTGTTTCCAAGCGAGCTTAACTCAGCTGCCAACTTGCTGTTGAACAGTTGTGCCGCTTGGTTCAAATAATCAACACATTCCCTTTCTTCTCCTCCTCTCAATGTTCTTTGAGATGGCAAACATCCGATTGGTGGTATGCCAAAAACACCAATCCGACGTGCCCCTAGCCCATATAAATCCTTCAGAGGTATGAACAACATTTTATATTTAGTCTTGAATAGTCGGATCAATTCAGATTGAGTTGAAATGTTATATTACCTGTACAAAACTAGAAGCAGATCTGACCAAAAGATCAGCATATGATGAAACATCATAGTAGGATTTCCGAAGAGGCGTATTAAAGTATGTATTGATAATGTCATTGGTTCCTGTGACCAATATGAATAGACTGTTGGCCAAGATCTCATTCTTCCTATCCTCTCCAACTATTTCTCTGAGCTTTAGTATGTACTCTTTGAACATTTCCAACTGACGCGACAATGAAATAACTTTCTGCATTTATATATAAAAGTTTTCAGATTATATATAAAAATATTTGGTAAAAACACTGAAAAATGAACGATGGAATGTACCGCGAGTTCAGATGTTAGAGGATCATATCCTGCACCACCTGAAGCAAAGTTAACTCCAGTGATGAGGTCTACTGGTTGTAAAGTTGGATCAAGATATGCTGGTAAAAGCTCTTTTATTCCCACTTCTTCCACTGAAATTAAGAGAAAAGACTAAGGACTATTATCTAATGTAATTGTAGATAAGAAAATACTCAAAATGCTTGAATGTCAAATTCTTCTTACCAATCAAGTCTGCAGGAACTTTCCCATTAGAAAACCTTCCTGTTGGTTTTCCTCCCATAAAATCCTGACCATACGGCGGATAATTAACCTTAGATACAGTTTTAAGGCCATTATTGTTACCTGTATCGACAATGGAGTCTCCGAAAACTATCACTGCTGGAATAGACTCATTATATGGTATCCTTGTAACTGCTTTGACATAACACAGCAGAAGTGAATAACAAACAAGAAAAGAGTATATTTTAAAAGAGAGGAGCTTCATTGATAAAGCTAAAGACTTTTCTCTGAAACACACACAGCACTAGTATTTAACTTTAAGAACTCAATCTTGTTGAGTAAATGCTTTGATTGGTACAAGAAAGGTTTCACCTATAGAGCCATGCTAACTTTTATGAAAGCCTTTTATTTAATGTTTCCTTAAATAGAAAGGTCAGCATCTACATATATAGTTTTAAGCCACAAACTCAATATAGAGAATTGGATACTGTATCTTTTAGACAAATTGGACTGCAAATTAGGATTTGTAATAAAAAAGATTGCATTAAATGAGTGTGTATCTACCACTTTCTTGATTTTCTACAAAAGTATATCTCAACAAACAACTACAAACTAAGTAGTAAAAATAAATGGTTGCATGTGCAGACTGCACAAATCCAGCTTTCAGTAAATACAACTTCAGTGAGTTTCACAGTATGGAGATCAATATATATACTACTTCACTACCTTAGGACATTAAATTTTTAATCTTTTTTAAGGGAGCCTCGGAGCAATGGTAAAGTTGTCTCCATGTGACCTATAAGTCATGAGTTCGAACCGTGGAAGCAGCCATTCCCCGGACCTTGAACGAACACGTACAGGATACCTTGTGCCGGGCTGCTATTTTTTAATTTTTAATTTATTTGAAGGGAGTCTTGAAGCAATGATAAAATTATCTCCGTGACCTATAGGTCAGGGGTTCAAGCCTGAAAGCAGCCACTAACGCTTGCATTAGGGTAGGCTGTCTAGATCACACCCCTTGAGGTGTGACCCTTCCCTAAACCCTGAGTGAATACAGGATACCTTGTGCCGGGCTGCTATATTTTAATTTTTAATCTTTTTGAAGGGAGCCTTGGAGCAATGGTAAAGTTATCTCTGCGTGACCTATAGGTCACGGGTGTGGAAGCAACCACTAATACTTGCATTAGGGTAGGCTGTTTAGATCACACCCCTTAAGGTGTGACCTTCCCCGGACTTTGAGTGAACACGGGGTACCTTATGCCGGGCTGTTATTTTTTAATTCTTAATCTTTTTGAAATAAAATTTACTTGATTGAATGAATGCTACAGTAGCATTAAAGTGTGACAAACAGAGTAAACCATGTGCAAACAGACTTCTTCAACCAATACCAGAAATATATAAAGATTTGTATTGAATGAATGATATGGGCTAAGTTGCTCAGAAGTCAGAGCTTCGCAATTCCTTTCGGATTGCAGGCATTTTAATTTTTAATGATATACTATAGTTTATATTATATGCACTAACGTTGCAAAAATTTTCTTACACTATTAGCGTATTTTGACCTATTACATAAGATAGCTTCGATTTTTTTAAAGGTTTATGTACCAATTAATCCAGTCCGCTCCTCTGCCGCTATTTATTTTCGTTGTTTCTCTCTGAAGTTATTCTATAGGTTACGTTACGTGTATGTATTTCAATATTAATTATCACTACCAAAACAAAAAAATTAAAATTAGCTATGAACTTCGTGGCTAAATCACTTGTAACAAAATATTTTTATAATCTATCGCTAATTCATCTCTAAATAGGATTAGCGATGAATTTTGCTGTTTAGCTATGCTATTAGTAGTGTATAGAATATAAAAAAGCAGCTATTAAAACTCATACAGTAAATACAAAGAGCTTTGAATACCGACTACTTTATTAAACACAAATTTATTTTCTTTCAATAAGAATTGTCAACATAAATTCCAGTACGTACTACATGTAATACTCCTTTAGTTTAATAAATCTCAACCAACTTCCGTCGTTTATTAATTATTTTTGTAAATATAAGAATAATACACTTGCTCTCGATAATCAAGTTGATTCTGGATATTTAAACATCCCAAGAGAAGGATTAAAGACGCTAAATCCACCATCAATTAAGAGATTATGACCACTAATATATTATGCATTCGCTTGCTATTTTTAATTTAAGTAATTGAGTGGGCTGTTATAAAAACTGCTTCCTGTTGCAAAATATGAATGAGAATTGACACAAATAATTTAGTGCTTCTCGTTCTTACTACTAGAAATCTATGAATTTCCCATGAATGTTTTAGTGGTGGACTGGAGCCCAAAATTCTAATAAAGGGGATTAAAAAAAAAACACTACACTTAAAGTTTTTTTTTTATTAATAGAGGGATTTTTTTATTACATAAAAAAATATGCAATTTTTTCGCTCCACTACTAGTTGGAACGTTGCCAGTAATAAGGAATTTCCAGACGGAAATCTGTGGTAAACAGGTCCGTCGGAAATTATGCGG